TGCGTCAACAGATTTGTGCTAAGTTGTACAAGAATATTTAAAAGAATTTTCTACCAAAAGTGTGCAAATGTAGGTGGCTCGCCCTTTTTAGCAGCCGTAACTCCCGAACCGGAAATTGCGCGTGCAAACGGCTCTTACGTCTATGTATACAAATCATTTGGCTACAGAATGTCATGAAAAAGCAAAGTGGTGTTCTGCAGTGCGTGAAAGTGAAACTTTTCCTGCATAAACCCAAATTTGGTACCGTGTACCTGGCCAAATCCCTTAAATGCTTTTCCTGGAGTCATTTAGAGAGGGTGTACACCCAGAGTGCATTGTACAGATAGCTTCTGCAGCTACACTTTGCACGTAACATTAACATTAACACTTTCTTCGTGAATCGCAATCGAAGGAAAGCATGATCTAGCGTAACATCCTCTTATTCACCGGCACAACTGCCGTACGCACGGGCTTAATATTCTTAGCGATCGATGGTTAAGCTTGCAGACGCTGGATAGGGCGCAAGTCAACAGAGCATATGAATGAGCTTGAGTGAAGGGTTCTAGTCGGGTACCGTCCTTTCCACTGGACTTATTCCCGCTGATTACGCTGTTTGGCGTTTTGTTTTCGAACGGACTCTTGTGCATTGTGCTGTATCTAACATATTTCTGCGTCAAAATTTTGATTTACCGAAGTTTCTTCCTTGCCGCACAATCTTCACGGTTTCTCAATTTGCGAGGTACGTTTCCAAATATTATGAATTACCTTGCTGCTTCATAGGATTTATTCTTGTTCATCACCTTTAGCCCAAGCTCGGACTGCACTCAGATGCATGTACATGTATCGCTGTTTTTGTTCGGGGCAGTTTGGTACGCATTATCAACGGTCGGACGACTTGCAGCCCAACAGGAAGTGCCTAGGGACGGTCGGAGCGCGACCGAAGCATTTCCCGAAGACTTGCTGTGTATGCATAGAATTTTCCTGAAAGCGGAACACTGGACGGACAACGAGAAAATGAAGGCTCTGCTCTTATCCCGCTTCTGAGGTACTGTCAAAGACGATCTTATTACTCCTATAACGTACAGTGTAGGAAGCAAAAGACCTCGTTCTAGCCCACACAAACGTTTCTCTACTCGAGCCTATTGCGGGTGATTCATGCGCATTGGTAGTTTTCTTGCTACACATCGTTTTTGATGTTACTTACAAATTTTCTCAACAGTCGACCGTATGTCCGATGACTGCTGCAGCTTTCTCCCGCCGTGTACGCCAATATGGGTTTTGCAATGGTTAATAGCTGTTAGTTGCCGCAGCCGTAGTCATGCAGCAGTTATAACTTTTTTCCAATATTTACACAAATATTCAGACCGCTTTTGGCTATGTCTAAAGAAAAATGGTTTTGGGCCACAAATGATTATACATACCGAGTTTTGATCTGGTTTTCCCAAATATTGTTTGCTTCCCGTAGTTTACTTTTCTAGAATTTCCGCTTACACCGTCAGTTATACCAACTGTCTTTGCACACTTTAAAGGCATTATTAGAAATACCGGCTTCATTCTTCCATTTCCTCTTGAATTTTAACGAGCAAATCATGACTATGTACACGCTTGAAGGGAAAGTTTACAACATGGATGCAGGTGGAACAACGTGTCGTCGATCTGGAACTGAGCAGCGAGCGCATCGAGAAGCTTCTTGTCTTAGCAACGGCACAGCGGTCTTCGCGTTTCCCATCAAATGCCGCGAAGTGTGAATTATTAGAGCCGTCACGTAAAGATGCATTAGGTACTTGGGACATTTTGTGGATGCGGTTGCAGGTATTGTTGAGCAACACCGGAATGACTCTGGAAATGCTAAATAATTTGGCAGTGGTTTTTACCATGAGCATGTTTGTGTCAGTAATGGGTGGTGTGCTCTGGCGCCGCTACGACTTTCGGTGTGTCTTTTTTGCTTTTACCGGTGCTTTGTTGGTGTACTTCGTCCGTGTCATGATTTCTGCTTGGATTGTCCCTCCTGGAAAGCATGCCCAGCGGATCAATAACGAAGATTTTTGACTTTTGACAAGCTACTTATTTCATACTTCATATTTTGGTGATGCTCCGATAAGGTATATTATGGAAAATTCTAATAAATTTGGTGTAAAGAAACAAAGAAATATTGCTTCTTCAGCTTGCATCTATAAGGAATCCATTCACAGTTTGTTGAAAGCAACAACATAAGGCAACAACTGCAGATATGATTGCGATTACAATAACTGACAAGAGATCCTTTTACTCAACAACGTATGCAACCTGACTCTGTGATGTACAGTACCGCAAGGCCAGAAAAGTTAATCGTTTCGTCTCATCAGAAATAACCCAGACCGGGTCTTACCTGTTAAACGCAATTTTGCAGTGCAGGCGCACGTACGTTGTATGAGCCCATTCACGATTCACATACACGGCCTGCAACTGCGTGCAGAGAGCAGGCAGCTGACTGAACGTGAGCGGCTTTAGCTCTCACTCGACTACAGTGCAGTAGGCTCCAACCGTACAAAAGCCTGGACAAGTGCAGGGTAGCAGTACATGAGTACAGTGCTCTGATAAACAGTAATTGAAAGTCATTCTACGGTACTCCAACCATTTCCCGGTACTGCTGCCGTCGCCCACCTGGAGCGGCAGTTACGGCAGTATGTATGGTTAAATGTGGTGCGGTACCTAAGCGTTATGTTCAGCCGCAACGTCACGTTCGTCGGGTGTTGGCAGACGCCAAGAGAAACGGTTGGAGTAGGGTTTCCTCTTACCTATATTACCTATGGTACCAGAATGATTACAAAAACATACATTAAACAGAAAATGTGTTGCAGTTTGCCAAGAGTAGAAGTTCTTTTTCATGTAAACGATGTAAACATTTAAGTCGCACGGAACTGCTGCCGTCACGCGGCTGGAGTGTGACGTTACGGCAGTACATAAGGTTACATCAGGCGCGATACATCACGCGCGCGCGTAAGCACCATGTTTAGCCACAACGTAAAACTCCAGCCGGCTGACGGCAGCAGTACAGGGGAATGGTTCGTGTAGCCTGCTTTTCCCCCCTATATTTGGTACCATGTACCAGATTACTTTTGCTCACAACGCTTTAGCACTCAAAGGTACGTCCAGCTTCTACAGCAGCAGCACTGCGAAAGTTTCTTGGGTAATTTCACCAAAAACGTACACTGCAGCCGTAGGTTCATTGCACCGGTGGGTTCTTCGTCGATGATTAAGCGGCTCTCATGACAGCTTTAAATAAACACACATGCGTGGCCCTGCGGCCGGGCCAAGTATTGTCACACGACTTTCCGAAACGTCGTTGCCACTGGGTAAAACGTTTCATGGGAGGGTACCCCACTTAATAATGCTGACCGAGATAAAATCACACAGCAGACTTTTTCGGAAAAGTATGTACCTTCCACATGGGGTTGAAATATTCGCTTAAAAGCAAAAGCGTTGTAGTACGTAAATTCAACGGATAGATGCTGACCTAGTGCGAAACAGGCTTGTAAGTCTTACTCGAACCCGAAAATTTTTTCTTCAGAATTAACAAATGACAATCATAAAATATCTACAATCCGGCAGTGTAACACCATGTTTAGCCACAACGTGAGTTTTACGTTGTGGCTAAACATGGTGCTTATGTATCGCGCCAGATTTAGCCATATGTAGTGCGGTAACGCCACACTCCAGGTGGGTGACGGAAGCCAGTATAGGGAATGCTTGCCTGGGCTTCTGAAAGCCCCTTTTATGATCTTGGGGCCATGTAGTTGTTTGATTTTGATTTGCGGTGTTTCGTACACAATGCAATGAAACATTTTTGAAGCATACTAAGCAGCTAAAAGATATAAGTATTCAAAACTTCATAGACTTGGGAAACATGCCTTGCTAAGCGCTGCGCTCCGGTCTTACAATGAACCACTGGTGCATTTTCCTAGTAACTGTTATTTTTCTCGGCAGTATACGCAGAGTCTGCACTTTACGTTTATCAACAGAGTATAATGGGTGCTCGAAGGTTTATTACCGTTGTATTCAACAGCGATTGGTTCAACGGTTTATTGCACTCTATCATGGCTCATTCCGTTATCGAGTCCTTATAGTTTTTCGTATTAGTTTCGTTTTCGGTGTCCATAAGAGTGCTTTAGTTTATCCAACAACCGAACCGAACGAAGCCACGATACCGAGGAAATATGGGCCAGGACAACTGACTAACAACATGGTCTAGACAGAGAAAAACAATCAATACCGTAATCCCGCTATACACAGGATACTAGCCTTACTAGGAAGGTGCTCTCGCTTCTCCCTCGTGAAGTTATGCATGCGCCGGCTTCAATGCCCGTTAACCGTAATTTAGACAAGTTTTCTCCAAGTTGACTTTACAGAACATTTTTCAATATGCCGGGCAAAAGATCTCATTCAAAATTTTTGCCATGTTTCCTGGAATATTCATCTTTCCGGGAGGTTTCAACCGTTACAGAATTCTACTCGGCACACTTGATAATCGTAACATTCATTTTACAAATTTGTCCTACCAAGAAGATAAAAAATATTTATAAATGTACTGCTACGCTTCGGTCATGCAGTGCCCGAAAAGAAACGAGTGTACTTTCCTAGTATTATTTATGTATGGCAGTACACTACTGGCCATACAGTACACTGTAGATAATGCTGCTCGTATACCAGAATTATACGAGTAATCAAACCAGAGTGAGCACGCTGCATCTCATTGTCAGTCGCTGTGTACGAGTACATCCATTTTCGATGGGAAATCAAAATCGTTCGCTTGGCAGTTGGTAATCGATCGTTACACTCGCCGGCATCGCAAATTGCGGTGGAGACAGTGCGAGCAGAGGAACGTACAGGAGTAAACGATACGCTCGATATATCTGTACGTACTGTACGTACAGTAAGACTAGCGCCGTTGCGGGCGACTGGTAAACTTAGACTATGAAGACGGAGCGTGGCATTCAAAGAAACCTTGCATTATCGATCCAGTTCTACTCGTAAATGTCGAAGTTATCGGGTGTTTTTTGTAGCGTTATGCGCTTCCAAGCTTGGGCTTCCAATCCAAATTTTTTTTATTTATTACGATAATTCGTATAATTGTTCCTTGTTTATAAAGTCATAATACCTTATTCTCAGTTCAAGCGAAAAATGCTGTTCAAGATGCCGCTATCGTTGTGCTTGTTCGGCGCGCTGTTGCCAGCACTATCTGCAGACGTTGCCGTCGAACCTGTGCGGGAAGACAGCCAAATCGTCGCCACAACAACCCACGAAGAAATGATATGTCTAGATGATAAGTTCCTCCAAGCGTCCATTGTTACCGACGAGGAGAAGATGGAAGCTGTGTTTCAATGCTTCCCGTTATTAAAGTAAGTGCGGCGGTCTGCGAACTGTTTTTAACGTTCTTCCTGGTTACGTTACGCACGGTACTTCACGGTTACTAGCAACTATTTGCTAATAATGTTGCAGCTATTTGCACTAAAGTTTTGGTTTGCCATTAAATTCACGCGCATTCTTTCAAAATAAGCGGTCCGGTACACATTATCTGCTAATTTGGTATATGTAAATAGGTACAATGGAAAATCTGACTGCTAAGCTGCGGCGAAATAAAACGGGTTCGTTTAACTGCAAATGCAGTGCACCATAAGTCAGGTTGCGGCGTTGCCTGACATGATTTTCTTAACTACCGTATTTGTAATGAAATGCGCGGTAGTAAGAAGACGGTTCTAATTCGATATCCTTTAAGTAGCAATTTTCCAGAATCTACAATCATTTTTTAAATTTTGGAACTATGAGTTTCGAAGTTTTGCAGGTCCTGTAGTGGTGTCTTGATTTTTATGAAGATTAGATTGTAACCTGTGCGAGTTTGTAGGGAAAGGTATGAAACGAGGATGAAGGAATTAGAAAAAGCGAAGCCGCTGATGGATGTACTGGAACGGCGCGCTAAGATACGCCAGTCTATGTCGTCCACCTTGAGTCCTAATGAGGCTGAAGATCTCATGGAGTTACTGAAAGAAGACCTGGACGATAAAACAGGCATTTGGGACGTTTTGTATGTGAAGTACGTGGAACTTTTCTATACCTACGGATTTACTCTTGGAATGCCCAACGCGTTTATCGCCATTTCCCTGGTTTTTGTGGTGGCGTCATCAGCGAGTGCTTTTCTTTGTGGCTACTTTGACGGTCAGCAGATGCACATCGTTATCATAGCGTTCTTTGGGATTTTCACTGTTGGTAGCCTGGTTGCTTATTTGGTGCTACGGATGATGCGCGTTCAACGAATTGTTAAGGAGAAGCTTTAAATAGCAATTAATTCTGTGTTTTGGTCCATGTACTGTACACGCATACTTCGTGATAAAATAAAACCGAAACATTTGACCATTCAGCGTACTAGCATTGAAAGTTGGATGTACGAGTACTTTTGATAAGTGAAACAACAAGTTGCTTTTCTACAGCGCCACTTGACAACCAGACAGCGGACTTGAAAAGTACGAGTACAATACATAACCAAAAAAATGTAAAAAACTGCAATAGTCGGTTTGCCATCTGAAAACTAAGTCAAACAAGCCATCAGATAATGCACATTGAACAACAGGAAACTTGGAGAAGCGCGAGACAAGAGCCTCATCAAACAGTACCAAAGTTTGCGTGATATGCGTTAAAATGTACCATCAGAATTTTAACCATACTTATTATCTACCTTTTTAACTCCCAAAATATACCTTACTTGCGTAGCAAAATCGCAACAAAATATCGCCACCACCGGCGTGATCCTAACAAAACTATATATATATATATACATATATATATATATATATATATCCAGATAACACAAAAAAAATTATTATGGAAATACAGAAGGAGAGATTCATACATACGGACAAAGTATAATTTCGTTGTACAACAGTACAAGCCATATTATGATCACGGCTGCATCGCTGTCAACGCCTTAAAACATTGATCGACGACCGGAAAGTTATTCACACTCGGGGCAACTGATCCCAGTACTCGCGTTGCCGATGCCGGAAGTACATAGTACGTGCGCAGGAGTATTTTTAGCATATGGGAAGTGAGCCGTTGATGTGAGTCATGTGACTAACAGCAGGCTGTGTAGCCTGCTCGTGGTGCTTTAAGACAGTGGACACTTGCACTGTATTGATCAGGTTCCACATGAAATGCTGAAGTTATCCCCATTTTTTCTGGTATCACAATTTACTTCCGCTATTGGGCTTCCATATAATAATAATAATATTACCCATCAACATTTCAAAATAGTTTGCCATTCGCAATACCCACTTTGGTTTTAAACGCAATGGTGCTTATAATGCCAGTGTTGATGTCTCTTTTCGGGACAATTATGCCAGCAGTGTTTGCAGTGGAACTGGCTGACGAAGACGTTGCCAACCTTGCCACGACTACCCCCGAAGAATTATTGTGTCTGCGTGGCAAGTTTGGCGAAGCGGCCTCTTTGACGGATGAGGAGAAGATGACGGCTGTCCTTCGCTGCTTCCCATTTATAAGGTACGCACTTTCGAAAACCATTGTGCTACTACTAAAATATAATTATGTCATACGATGATGTACAGTACTTAAAGGCTATAATCTTGTAATTCAAAGCAGTTCTACCTTGCATGGCGGACATTTCGTATAAATCTGCTTGATTTGCACTTTCGCGCACTTCCACTGCCTGGCTTCGTTTGGTGTCATTTGACAGGGTCAAAAGGCTAAATATACTATCCAATGCCAAGAAGGCTTAATACACTACCAGTAATTTGAAGGGATACAGTCCTAAGTTGAGTTGTTATCCCATCTTTTGGAAAATTTAATGTACAAAGCATCTTCCGCAGAAGACTCCAAATCCGCATTTTTTCCATGCTATGTTTTTAGTTTTACAAATCGTTGAAATTTCAAAGAAACTTACTAAATTTCGTCTTGTTTTCCGGGATTCTTAATGATTATCTTCCTTTATACGGCTTTTTTTTAGGTTTTTATCCATCTTAAAACTTCTGAAAATCAAATCCTTTAGGCTTGGATTAGCCTCACAAAAGATAAATTCCATGGTAAATCAGATCCTATTTTATGGTATATTCACATTTTACATTGAGTTTAAATGTTCAGGACGTTACGAACCCTCTTTTTGGTTGTGAATCGCCATCATAGCATATGCGCCGGTGCCTTAAACATTAGTAGCTTACCCCATTTTTAATTCGCCATATCTAACCTTCTGAACGATAGTCGGGCGGATGTTGCACGCATAAAAGACACACCAACATTACAAGTTATTTGTCTGTTTGATGATATCAAACATAAAAACAAATGTTTTGGAGTGCACGAAACATTCCATGTAGTCATGTACAGTATCTGCAGGTGTCGTCAAGACGTCAACGTAAAACGTGCGTAGGTGTCTTCTGTTCACTAATGTCCTGGAATCATTCTACTCGTCCTTCTTGAAGCTTAATCAACAAACCGTTACTTTGAAAGTGTTTGTAGCGAAAAGTTCGAAGGGCAATTGAGGGAATTCGACGACCTGAAACAGCGTCTGGATCACTTAAAACAGCCGAGAATGGCACGGGAGCCTTCGAGGTCGACACCGGATGCCGCACATTCTGAACTGAACGACTCATTGAAAGGGAAGATACACTTTCGGAACGTGCTATGGATGAGGCTGCAGGCATTTTATGATAACAGCGGATTTGTTTTCGGAATACCGAATGCGTTAGCCGCATTTGTTTTCGTGCTCGTTGCAGCGGCAGTAGCGTGTGGTTTGCTTTTGCGCTATAGTGACGTTCAGCCAGTCCGCATCGCTGTCACGGCTGTTATCGGGGTTTGTGTGGTCGGTGGTGTTGTTGCTTATTGGATGGTCCCGGGAATGCGAGTAGAGCGGATTGTTAAGGAAGAATTTTGAGCAGAATTTGTTTTTATGCTTTTGTGTTTTATATTTAATGGTTAAAGCAGAACAATATTGATTAAAATCAAAACATTTGCTTGTACAGCGGACCAAGTGTACTTTCTCGTAACTGGTAATTCTTGACATCCGGATATTGGACCGACAAGTCATTTTTGGTCATCCATGTAGGATACGAGTGTGGGTCAATCACGGAGCAAATATTTGCCGACTCTGAGACCTGGCGCGGTATGATTTTTCTGACACTGGGTGTTTGATCGAGCTGGATTCGCATCAAGGAAAAAATCACGCTAATAAGGCAGTCGGATAACAAAGATAAAAATTTGTAATAAAGATACAGAAAATAAACAAATTAGAAACTACAGTACGAGTACTGATATATTGCCTAACCTCTTACCGCTAAGAAAATACAGAAATGGCGCACCGTGCTACTTCAGCAGGTTTCTGCACTCTCTGCACGAATGGTTGAAGCTCGTGAATCATCGACCCCTGTTTTGTTGATCTTTTAGTCGAAATCTCGACAGCGAAGGCGGTGAAATAAAACATGTAACTGTATCAACGGTAAAATCATCATCAGTAACTAATTGGTGGAAAAAGATAGAGTACCAGGCAACATTCCTTAATTTAAGCTAACTAAAGTGGCAGTAATTTGAAAAGATCGCTTTATAATTATTATACTTTCGTCTGTTAACAGTAACTTTATTCAGATTTGTTTTTCAGAGACGATCTGAAACAATAATCTTTCCAGCTGACGGCGACAAATCGACGACTCGTCACGCCAGCTAATCTAGAATCTATGGCGAATTATCGAGGTTTCTTCCATTCCCTGTGGTATAATACCGTTTGAAAGCCGATTGGAGAAAAACCATGGCGATCTCCGCTTTTGTGACGCCTAGAAACAGTGACAACGTAAACCGAAAATAATCCAGTTTCTAGCATTAGAATACCGTGCGTGGCTGTCCGCTTTAAAAACTTAAAACGACAAGTACCTATACGAAAATGCTTGAAATTAGGAGTATAAGTTGTTGTGGAAATTATAGTGTTAGAGAAAAACTCGAATTATATTGCCTTGCGATATCGAGAATTTGTACGTCTTGGCCAGAAGAACCGAAAGTTCGACGGTGTCTTAAATACGAGTAAAAAGTTTAGCTTGGAATAAATCAAACCTAGCTTTGTTGTTTCTTCTTTGGAATTCAGTCAGGAAATGCTGCTTTGCAGGCTACCGCTTACGTGGGCAGAGCGTTACAAAAAGCAGAAACGACATATTGTTCAGTTGACGCAAATGACCCCTCGGCTCGGAAAGCTGCACCGCCTCATGTGCAAGACACCGTTACTTTCGTGTTCCATACTGAATGCGGCACAGTCTGAAGCACAGGTAATGGAGTCACGGGAAGATGCGCCGGACGGTCGCGAAATTGCGTTGGCACGCCGACGTGAAAAATGCCGATATTGCTCCTTCCTAATTAACAGTTGTGTTATCTTTATGGCCATCGCCGGGGTATTGATTGTCTTGCATATTATGATACATTACTATGAAAACCCCGACCAGATTTCCGTTGGGGCGATTGTATGTGACTGCATCATCGGCGGCTGTTGGGTATCATGTTTATTAATGCCCGCGGTAATGATATATATTGTTGACCCGAAATAATCTTTAGCAGAGATTCACGGTGACCTTTGCATTATCCAAGCCCCGTTGAAGTCCCTGCTGAGCGGTTGATATTTGTTTCCGTATTGTCAAAAAACCATACTGAATGCAAGGTCACATCAAATTCCATCTGGTTTTAACAGCCGTTGATCCTGTAGCAGACTAGCAGCAGTGTTTGCCACTGCTATGTACAAGGATGTAGTGATGCTGTTTGGGCAAAAATTAGAAATAAAATCATATTCGAGTTTCTTTGAACAAACAGTATATTGCTGGGGTCGGCGGTTTATTTGTTCTGGTGGTTTTGTAGAGAACGCTTCACTGCGGTGTTAATCGAGAAAGCACCGCTGTAATGGTCTGTAGAATGATCTATCAACATAAGGATTCTAAACATTACCGACATAGTCACTGTTTACCGACAGTGACATTGTTTACCGACATAGTCACTGTTTACATAGTCCAACATAGTCACTGTTTACCGACAGACAGTGCCAACAATAACGATGCAGTGTTCTTCGCAATCGATGCATCCACTGAACGTGCTCCTGGGAAAAGGACCAATTCATTAACAGTGGGAAGGGCGTTGGTGTAGAGCGCTCGTCGGCGATGGAACCCTGTGTCAATATACCGGTTGTGCTGTGTGGAGAGACAGCTGACAATAAACAGTTAGGATCGGATAGAGTGAATATAACAGCTTTGGCCGCGGAAAGTCCACTTAATCCAGCGGATTGTCACCGAATAAATCACTATTGTGCATAATTTTACTTTTATTTTTTTTCGTGTATTCCGTATGCCGAATTCCGTTATCCGATCGATCGCGCGATCCCTGAAGAAATGCATGTCTGGCTTTATGTGTTTGGGGCAGTTTTGCCTGCCTTCTGGGCACTGGCGCAACCTGACCAGCTGCGCGACGACGTGAGAAGCGCTGCGGATACCACAACACAGGCTGAAGAACTTTTGTGCATGGATGAACAGTTTCTGCAAGCAGTCACTGGCGGACAGAAGATGAAGGCTGTGATGAATTGCCTCCCAGTTCTAAGGTAAACTTACTGATTTCTTATTTTATTCCGTGGTGGCTGGCACTCCAACGGCATCGTCATCCCGTCATCAGCTTACATTTACGATTTGTGCAGTAATAAAGCCACATGCGCCAGAGAAACAAACCAGTTCAGGTGACTGTATTTACGGTTGTGCAAATAAATGGGATTAAATGAATATTACTTAGAATAATTAGCCAAATTGTGTAATGTTCCGTAGTGGCTTTAGTGTGCCTTAATCCTTAGCACTGTTGTTTTGCAGACACAGCATTGCAGCTGTACCCAGCGTGAGAAACAGCTGAAACATGGCATCGTTCAGTTGCAGCTGCCACTAAAACACCCCCAACAACTTCTCGGCTTAGCTGAGTCACGATCTACTTTGCGCTCCACACCGAAGGCTGCACGTCCCGAGAATAACCAGTCTGGAAAAGATTCGCTCGAAGCCAAGAAACGTTTTGGATGTGTCTGCCATGGACTACACACTATGTCTTTCTATTGTGCTATATGCAGCCTCGTATTTTGGGTAGGCTTTATCGTGAGTATTTTGCTTTTTGCTCTCATGCTGCATAAAACATGTTCTCGCCGATTGGATTGGCTTTCTGGCAGCATGCAATATCGTCGGCGGTCTGCTTGTTTATCTTTTTCAGGGATGCTCTGTGAGTCCTGTAGCGCCTGCTCACCCGAATGTTACGGAAGATTTGTAAATGCGGACTATGGAATAAACGGTGCCTTCTGCATCCGCAAAGTCAAGATGGCCGCCGGGGATTTTCGGGGTAGTTTATCCGTACTTATCTGAAATCTGAATATCTGTGTAGGAAGCAACGGCGATTCATTTTGGGTTATCATGGAAGATCGTTAAAATTAACGATTCTGTGTCCTACAGGTAGTAATTCGCGGTAATGCTTGAAGATTGATGGAAAAATAGGATGTTATTAATGAAAACAAACTGGAGTTAAACTCCAACCTGATCTATTGGCAACGTACTAAGTACTAACTATTTTTCGCCCTACAATGCGGCAACAAATACCAGCCTATACTCAACTAATGCCGTGCACGTAAGGTATCACCTGCAAAATAAAGCCAGTTCAACGGGTAACTGTAGGTACTTCCATCATCGCTATTTTAGACACACGTTTCACTCAAATCAGATCTTGAAGCGTTGGTAGGAACATCGCTTTCTGGAAGCCATTTTCTTTTTTTAGTGTTTTTTTTACCGTTTCGAGTATTTCTGATTACTTGAAGCTGTGCTAGGCAGTTTATCATTCTGGTTTTACCTCAAACAGTGGGAACGCTTTCCACTACTATGTTATTCGTGGAAGCGGTGATGTTTTTGTCTGCAACACGATCTATCATCAGTAACATTCGGAATAACCGTAGCTACCGTTTGCCGATAGATGATTCCGCTCACAAAGCTCTTGTCAGTTGATAGCTGCACTAAATGTACTAAGGGGAATTAAGACCGGTGCAGCAAATGCGTTGGTACACAACGCTATTCAGCGCCGGAACACTGTGTAAACATACCCACAATGTAACGAGACAGCCGACGGTAAAACGGTTATGATCGAGTACATCCTAGACATACGCCAGCAATTGTCGGGGAACGTGCCTAAAGTGCGTACCGATTTCCATCAGATCTAGTGTTCTTGTGAATAATTTTTTTTATCGACGAGTCCTTGTTTCCATAAGATAGTTTGACCGACCAAGCGATCCCTGCCAGAATGCACGTCTGGCTTTGTATATTTATGGCATTTTTGCCTGCATTAGTTGCAACGGAACAACCTGACCAATTTTGCGACGTCGGGCGATGCACTGCAGATACCACAACAAAGAGCGAAGAGCTGTTGTGCATGGATGAACAGTTTCCTATTGAAGACAGTGGGGAGGAAGAGGTGGAGGCTGCAATGCAGTGTCTCCCACTTTTAAGGTACCCTTAAAATCATAATCGGCCTGATAACTGAATGCACACGTTAAGTGCGCTCTCACTAAGAGCATGCGGCATTCCAATGTTAAAATTCGATTCTTCTGCGCTTGATTTTCACGCATAACGCTAATACCGGATCGCTGATATCGGATAAGCAAGTTTCTCGTAAAACAGAAAAATTTATAAATACATGCAGAATTTATTTATAATACAGTAATAGTTCATCGTAGAATGTCGGAGAACATTGCAGTGTCAGTGCAGTATAGAAGGTACAGTAACTGTTTTCCAAGCGCCAACACCACGATTATTACAATAGCTATAGAGTATAGACTATAGTGCTACAACCTATTACGCAAGAAACTAGACACCGACTTGTACATTGGTCATTTTCGTCTACGATTGCCAACGTGATCATGTCAAATCTCGTCGAATGCGCGTCAAATATGGTCATAATGCATCACCGGACTGCACATACTTAGAATTATTGTGTATGGTTTGTCTCGCGTTCAACCAAGGAATCACTACTTTGTAGGCACAAGTTGGCAACGTGTTCGGAGCGTGTGCAACAGCTGGAGCAAGTTACAGTGGAACTGCAGCAGTCGTTAAGTCGCCTCCAAGGACTTCTCGGCGTTGATGATACACAACGTTCTCCGGGTTCCACACTGACCACACCGATAGCGGCACTGTCCGAGATGAGCCAGTCTGAAGAAGATACGAAAGAGGAAAAAGAAACCTTTTTGACGAAGCTGGAATACGGGCTGCGTTTATCTTCTTATATCATGGGCCTGGGAATTGGCATATTCTGGGTAGGGATTATTCTGTATGTTGGGATTTGGTGCTGGATGAATCCACAGGCTGCTCGATTGCTTTTTGGTGGGATGTGGGAAAGCATGCGTGAGCGTACACGGGCTGCTTAATGCTCCCTGGCGCTGTAGCGTGCGCTCGACAAATTCCTACGAAGGAAATGCCGTCTCAGGACTTGGAGTTCATGGGCGTGCGCGGGCTTATCGCATTCTGCTTATCCACGATTACCTAAGACTTTGATATTCATCGACGATTTGCTGTCTTTGAATTTATTTTCTTTGAGTTTGTGGAGTTTTGTCTAGGTATAACTTAATTTCTTCCTTGGCTATGCACTTCATCTGGGCCTCGACAATCGGGGTCATCAGAAAACTTCTCGCACTGTTTATTCATTATGTCATTGCTGTAGTTTATGCAGTGTAGACCGTAGATTAACAAAAATGAAACCAAGCAAATTGCCTTTATTGGGTTATTCGAGTGAACATTGGATAATATTAAAGAAACTCCAAAGTATAAGCGCCTGTAGCCGTCAGAAAGGTGGACGGGTGGATGGTGGATGCTCAAAGGAATCGCATCCACCAGTCTGCCGACATTTAACAGATGGGTGGATAAGCCGTCCACCTTTCTGCTGATCACATCCATGACCTTTAAAAAAGGTGAATGTGATCCGGCAGAAAGGTGGATGGCCTTTAGGAAAAGGTTGATGTGATCCGGCAGAAAGGTGGACGGATCATCCACCAATCTGCCGAAGGTCGGCAAATTGGTGGATGCAATTCCATTGAACATCCACCTTTCTGTCGGCTACAAGTGCCCAAACTCTGCAGCGTGCGCTTTACGGATTGATACAGAGGAGCTGCAGACGGTTTCCCTGAATTTTTGGGGGTTTTTGTATCCTCAAAATCTGGTTGACACCCGTGGGTGTTCGTCGCATGGTGGTTATCCATACTTTTAAACCAGATTTTATTTTCCATATTTTATTGTCTATAAAATAGAATTTATAAAAACTGCAGTTTGTAACCGTAATTTATTTTATTTGCCTACTGCTTGGTCTTCGGCGGTCAAATTCACCCGAAAATCTCCCGATATATTCAATATACCATATGCAGCAGTGTGCTGTAGGTTTTTCAATTTGCAGAAACACAAACACCCCGAAAAAATTAAGATAGGACTCGAAATAAGAAAATTTCTATTGGTTTTGGAAACTGTTCTGTATTTTGTGATGTGAACACTAGGCGTAGCCTTTATCTTAAACATATTGAATATTTATTTTACACAGTCACTAATTGCTACTACAGTATCGGCACGAGTAGGTGGCTCTTCCAACCGTCCCGCTTACAAGAGTGAAATTGCTTACACGAATGCATAATATAATATTGTATCGACAATAATGCCTTTTCAATTCACACGCATGCACCTTTCGGTGGGCGATTTAAAAACGTAGCTACGGCTGGTGAGGTAGCGAATGAACGTGTTCTTGTTGAGAACACGATGTATCCGCTACGCTACCAGCAGTATGGAAACGTTCCATAAATCCTGATCTGCCTGAGCTGGCACTTGCGGGGTGATCGGTAAGGACGCTCACCGGCGTTGGTATGAGAAACTGTCGCCCTCTCGCCGAGTAAAATACCAAAGATGCAAAATGTTGTTTCCAATAGTTGGTCTGAGGCAACAAAGCGTCCAAAAAACACTCAGTGTGGATAGAACGTTTTAAAGCGTTTAACAGAACTATCTGATTAAGCACTTCAAAAAGACCAAGTTAGCAAAGCAAAATAGTTTAAACTACAACGCGGCTGCATCGCGCATGAAAGCAACTGGGTTCCTTAGGGTTTGGTAGGAACTTATGGTTTTCTTTGCAGAAAGTGCCTTTATAGTTTCTTGATTCACTTGATTGTGTGCTACTATTCAGCGGTGTATGCTATGCCCCGCAGCCTGTTGCTGTCTGAATTCTGGGCAGAAAACGGAAAGTACGGAGCACAGCATCGTGGTACGGCTCACACGTGTTGGCCATAATAAGCTCACTATAAGACTTCGGCATGATCAAGAAATACCACAATTGCTTTAGGAAAATAATGGCCGGTATTGTGCTGTACTTGTTTCTACCGGCATGTTTGCTGGTAACCTTGACAGGTGCATACAGCACAACGGTAGCAGTTCATAATACATAGATCGCAAATATCAATAACCGGTTCACTTGCACCCGCTGTAACATACCTTTGGCTTGTTGCCGTTGTTGGGAAAATAATTACTCATGGCAGGTGTTGTCAACCGTTGTATGTGCGATCATTAGCATCAGAGTGGCACAAACAGTACAAGCGTAAAGGCTGCATGATGAAGAGCTTTAACCTGTTTAACTGATGTATAGTATAAGGAAGTAGTAATACTGGCGGCGTACCCGTCATGTGGTGCTCAGTGTTCACTAATATAACACCAAACATGGATCCTCTGTAATATTGATCTTTGTTATCCAGAGTACAAAAAAGCGTTTATTGTCAGTTTCTTGCTTGTGGCGTAATAAATTTCCAAGGTTTGTTTTGCGGTTACCCTATCATTGGACTATCTGTACATTCCGAAATATTGCCAAAATATTCTGTTTTCCATTGGTCGTTTTATCTCATCAGTTGCGTCGTCGCTTTCAGCGCAATTTTATGCAGAATATGTTGATATATCTATATGTTGATATATGCTTATGTTGATATATCTATTCGGGGTGGTTTTCCATGCGGTTATTGCGGTGAGACCACAGCCAGAAGACGGCGGAAACACTATCCCAACAGCGGATAAAGAGCGTCTGTGCCTGCAAAACAAGTTCAAGGAAGCGAGGGACTGGAATGACGAGAGGAAGATAAACGCAGTGACTGACTGCTTCCCACTTATAAGGTAAAACCACTGCTTCCCTCCGAATGATTCGTATTATTCGTGAAGCTTACGGAATTCTACGTTTAGCGGCAATTACAGAAAGTAGTTCAGTCTTCAGTCTTTCTTTTCTCCAGAAAGTTTATCACCAAATAAAAATAACTATTACAGTGTACAACTTTGTAGGGAAACGTTGGAAGCCCAAATAAAACGTTTCGAAGCCATCGAACAGCGGATTCTCGAAATTGAGCAGCTCTATGATCAACTCAAAGACATACGGTCGGGAAAGGTAAGCATTTGGGGCATCTTGTGGATCCAACTGGAGATTCTCGCTAGTGACAACGGATTTACCCTGCCAAAGCCGATTTTTGTGGCTGTTGTTTTGGCGATCATCGCCGGAGTGATATTGGTCCCCATTGGGCTTGGCTACCACCACAACAATCAGCGAATCCGCAACGCTATAACGATCTTCCTCGGTGTGTGCATCACCGGCTGCCTCGTTCTTGCTTGGAAGCTATTGCTGCCAGCGGCGCGCGTTCAGCGGGCTATTAAGCAGGAATTTTAGACTGTTTAGTGAGCAACTATTTCGCGCTTTCTTTCCCTGGGAGGCAATACTACAACACAAAAAATGTGAACTAAATTAAACTAACTTATTCAAGGTTACACGAGAACCTCTTGTAGTTTTCAAAGCCGATATAAGAACTCCAAGACTATACTGAGTTGTCTTCCTATGCGTCTTCCTAATCCTATATATGGCTTCCCATGTATAACTTGTTTTAATTTTCATCTCACCACAGGCGCTGTTTGCGTTAAGTGGCCGCGCTAAAAATGTGTCGAATAAATAGCATTAAATCTGTGGGGAAATGGTGCACGATGAACCAGTAGAATTCAATCAAACAGCAATGCGCATATTTTCGTCTTATTAACCGCATTTTGTTAAATTCGCCCGGGGCATTGCTGTTTGTAGACAGAATGGCAGTTTAAGGTGCAATTTCAGTAAACTCGTTTGAATAAACAGTTTGAATGGTATTAGGTATATGTAACATGTAATGCATGTAACACGATCTATAGTCAAAAGAATTCGAAACTGGTAGGTGGCACTAAAAGTAACAGGAAAGTGCTTCTGCAATCGACACTTCAGAGTAATCGTACTCCAAGAAAACAAGACTGATGCAGAGATTTCCGTCGGCAGTGGGTTCTATTTCGGAGACATAGTGCTGTCATAAATCCAATATAGGCATAGCGGTTTGTAAAAAAATTAATGCAAACAAGGCCCACATATTGATTCCCATCAGTAGCACGGGAATCCCGACGACCAGCACCGTGCACCCAATGATATGATTGTCGAAATGGCTGTCGATGGTGTGTAAAAAAGCACTATGCCGAACACTCCCGGTTCGGTGCGGGAGCGGGTGCGAGGATCTGTCAGTTCGGTACGGAAGTGAGATATGTGACTTATGACCACTGCAAATTCCATTACAAATACCCCACAAGTTGACACAAGCACAATAACCCATCCAAATCAAGCGATCAGTAACATCGCGAATGCAGAAAGTGTTAATCATAGTATGATTAATTGTTTCTGCAATCGTGATTTTACAAATTATGGAATAACAACATTTCATTTATTGTCGCCACTCCTTTCATTGTTCTGAGCATGGAAACGGCGTTGCCTCGCTGTACTTCCAGCAACAGATGTGGCCGGAGAAACTCGTGAGAGCAAGGCTCTCCTGCGCTGCGTGCTACTGGAGCCGCTTGCCGATTTCTTTCACTAAAAGAGTGGCTGACTTTCCCATGGCCCAAGCGTTTCGAACGCCAGCGGCGCGAAGTTGCATCTACCCGTCAGATATGCACAGAAACGCACTTTTTTTCTTCTGCTTGTGCGGCAGCAGATCCCGCAGTCGTAGATGTTGATCGCACTTGTGACATGGCGACAGTATCCACACACCTCACGTCACATGCCAAGCACATCCCACTTTTCCAGGCAAAAGTGGTGCAATCATCTGGACCTCGATCGGAGGTGTGGGAAGTTCCCCGGGAATCCACTTTCATAGGGATTCCGGCTGGAACCAACGTCTACACGATATTGTTCAAGCCGCCGTGGCGTGCATGTTTCCAAGCAGAAAAACAGCAGGAGAATCCGTGGTGGCCGTGTACATCCACCGGCTTATTGCATTTAGCACAGACGAAGTGTGGATAGCGATGCGTTATCGTTAGGTCCCAGGTCCGTTGGGACTTCCGCAAGTTGAGCTCAGTGAGATCGGTAAGGCGCGCGCTGGCTTTCCGCAACTCCAAAGCATCGGAGACGTCCACAGATGGGTGATCAGGTAGCAGCCTTGACACTAAATCGGACGCGGAGTAACTTGATGCCAAAAAGGCCGGGACTAGGGTGTGCTAATTTCTTCCGCTCGACGTATGCCAATACGGAAGCTCACCGGAAGTGGGTACACGGCACCGTCAAAGTGGTCTGGGTTTCTTAGGTTTCTTAGGTTTCTTAGGTTTCTTAGGTTTCTTAGGTTTCTTAGGTTTCTTAGGTTTCTTAGGTTTCTTAGGTTTCTTAGGTGCCACTGTCGAGGCGGGTGTATAAAGAGCGGAGCGACGGTGGGCATGGTTGACTGATAAGGCGGATGACCGGTCGTTGTTGGGGATCTTTGCAACAGTCAACGCTTCCAAAATCCTTATACAGAAAGGCGCAAAATTAATTTAATCATTCCGTTATTAAAATAACTTTCTTATACGTCAGGACGACATTAAATACTGGTAAAAAGGTATCACAACAAGCATGCCATTAACGGCTGCCACAAGTTCCATACCCTGTGCATTTGTTAAGAACTATGCCTTCCCGCAACTAATTTTGTTAAAAACCCGAAAGAACTAGCGAAATTTTGGGCTTGTTCGTTTACACAAATTGCTCGCCTTCATTAACCATGCCCCATGGTACAGATTTCCTGAGCAGTCGGTACGGAGCAATTCAACTGCGGACACGAAGAAGTTAGCTTGTGTCGTATCAGACACGGTCATGTTATGGCCACAGCACAACGATAGCCCCAGCAACGCCACTGTCAGCAAGGGAAACGGAAACGGGAAACGTCAGCAAGGGAAACGGTGGTAAATTTACCATCGAGAATCCACTGTGAACGTTTCCTTTAAAGAAAGGGAAAAGTCTGACTTAATATTTGGCCATTTTACGTCAGCATACTAGTTAATTAATCAAAATGTATCCCTTCCATGATGCCTGTTATAAGAAAGCTGATAGGGATCCATATATCGTTCTCTAAAGAACGTGCCAATTTGACAGCATGATCAGGTACCCCCAAGCTCATATTGTGATCTATTCTTAATGTTTACACCTACAAACCTTTTGAAATAGACACTCAACTGAATAAGAATCAATCACAGCTGCGATACGATTTCACCGAAACAAACCAAAGAAAATGGCCCAAGAATATCATGATGCGGTAGCGTAACAAGAATCAGACCGATTTTCTTGAGGCTTTCATTTTGAAATAGCAACATATCCCTTCCGCAGTTCCGCGTACTCTATAACATGCACATATCTTTACCTACTTAAGCTACCTTGACAGTTTATTGACGCTACAGTATTGATTGGCAAAATGATACCTAAGTTGCAGCACAGTATGGCATACGGTATGTGTGTAGTCGCAATCATATGTACAAGTATTAGAATTTGCCAGATGCGGCGAGGTTTATGGAAGGCGACGAGCTCCACTACCAGCGTTGATATACTACTGCGATGGTGCACCGGGACTGCTCTAGAACTGCATGTTGTTAAACCGCGGTGTCGTTCAAGAAATCGGTTTTGAAAAGTTTGAAAAAAAATTTTTTCCGCTGCTCCTGATTACTACGAGATTTCAGAATAACTCACGCAATTTTTTGGCCGACGTTCAAGTATGCTTTGAAGAATGATGCTGATCTTTCACTGGATTGTTGTCGTTCAGCTAGCGATGGTTCTGCTGCAGGGCGTACGGATCACCACAGCGACCGCCGCTGCAGCCCAAGAGCCGCTGGATTATCCGTTGTGCTGCCAGCTGGATCCTTCCGCGTCCATTCCTGAAAAAATACAGGCTTTGGCGGACTGCGTTACAATCATCGGGTAATGTTAATAAAATCTTTCTGTTCATACTGAATCAGAATTGGCTCTGCCTGACTGCTGCAAGAATCGTTCCATACATTCAAGTTTAACTTCATGTTACAGCATGCATTATTTAAAATTAAGATTGAAATGATAATGACTTTTTTAATTTAATCAGTGTAAGAAAATTAGAGCCCCGAAATATATTTCCAGTGAAAAGAATTATTTCCAGTGAAAAATTTTCGAAAATTGTTTAAAGGCGTATATGGTTTCACAATGTAACTTCGTCTAAACATTGTTTTAATGGTACTTCGCATTTTTGCTGTAGTAGTATAATTGATTTATAGCATCTTAGGTTCTAGTTTCTTAGGTTCTTACCTGACAATGAGTACTTCTATAGACGGATAAGCAGGTATATTAGAAAGACATTCAGAAAGATAAACACCTCTTATGTAAGGGCACAAGTATCACAATCCACGCGACATTGTTAACTAGTACCTGTTACAATTATTAGGCCGCACATCCATCTGCTGGCTAACGCGTCCCGTCTGGATCAATTTTCAACACTCAGCAAAAGCACTTCCTCTAAGCCGTCTGACTCCGTTCCCCATCCAACACCACCGGAAACGCCTCGACCCGATAAGCACCAACCTGAAGCCGAGGACAGCGAAATCTCAATGCTGCAACGTATTGTACACAACACCGAACGATGGGCCACACGTAATTTTTTATGTGCTCTCATCACGTCCGTTCCTGCCAGCGCTCTCGTTGGCTCCGTTGTCTTTTGGGCTGGCTGGCTGCTCTTGGCATTTGCCGATGCCCTGTACACTCGTGGTTAGCTCACACTAACAGGCGCTTTTCTGGGCGTACTGTGCGCTTGGTGGGCCGTGGATAGTCTTTTCTGGGCTCTCTTCTGATGGTCGCTTTGAGTAGTAGAGTAAGGTTGTTAACGGTGCGGTTTTTTACCAGTGCACCGGTGCAATTTGAAAAAATTGCGGTGCGGTTTTGAAAATAAATTGGTACGGGCGGTGCGGTTTTTGGGAAAAACTACACCGGCGCACACCGATGCGTCTGGGTAACCGCGTTGCCGAACACCGGTTAACCACCGGTTAACCGAAAATTATAATCAATATAAATTCGTAATTAAAATCAATAATTTTTGTGAAATAACGCTGTAGGCTGGTTCACGCCCACGGGACGCACGAGCTGTCACGGTCGTACATTTGTATTCTGTAGCATGTAAAAGTATTCACTCGCAGCTCACATGTACTAGAAGCTCGCTTGATAGTTGATACTCTAGCTGCTGCAACAACCGAGCTGCCATAAGGTAGAAAATGTGCAGCACTGGGAGCAAGATTTTGACTTGATTTTCCACGCTCTGGAGTTGTTTCAATCAATAAAACTCCAAAAAAATCAGTTCTCGATATCTTAGGTTTTTATAGTAGTTAATGTTAAACTTAGTAATGTCTGGCACGGTGCAGTATGATGTGTCTTAAGTCTGGGTATCCTACTGTAAAGCACTGCCAAGAAGTTGTTGAGACTGATGAGTAATAAAATCGGTAATTAGTTGCTCTTTCGGCTATTTACTTGCGCTACACCGGTGTACACCGGTGCGGTGCGGTGTGAAAAATTGCGGTGCGATTTTGGTTTTTCACCGCACCGTCCGGTGCAATTTTTCGCTTTACACCGGTAAGCTAGGTGCGGTTTCTTATAAAAACCGCACCGAAGGCACACCG